TCCCAATACGTGAATATCAGTCAGGCTCGGACAGTACTTTGAGAATCCCAATACGTGAATTATCTGTCAGGCTCGGACAGTACTTTGAGAATCCCAATACGTGAATATCAGTCAGGCCCGGACTAGTACTTTGAGAATCCCAATACGTGAATATCTGTCAGGCTCGGACAGTACTTTGAGAATCCCAATACGTGAATATCAGTCAGGCTCGGACAGTACTTTGAGAATCCCAATACGTGAATATCAGTCAGGCTCGGACAGTACTTTGAGAATCCCAATACGTGAATATCAGTCAGGCTCGGACAGTACTTTGAGAATCCCAATACGTGAATATCAGTCAGGCTCGGACAGTACTTTGAGAATCCCAATACGTGAATATCTGTCAGGATCGGAGAGTACTTTGAGTGATATGAGTGGTTCTAAAATGCACTCCAAACATTTCCGATACTTTTAAATGGCCTCAACTCGAGTACATTACGTTGTCCATGAACAAACATTATAATTATCTTATTAATCAATTCGATTGATTTTAAAAACAAAATCTCTATCTACAGTAAAGTGTAAACAGTAATTTTATAGCTTACCTGTTGGTTAATGGTTTGAAATTGATCGCTAGCCGGATGTATGGGGCGAGAAAATACATGGGAAGTATGTCTATAACAAACGAGAGCAACAAAATAACATAATGTTGATTTGTTTGTTGTAAGTCCGCAGACATACCGCTAGGGGGCCCATACTGTTGATAAAGACAAGAATTGATTATCATCCCCACTTCACATATTCAAGGGAAATAAGCCCCAACTTAAACTATTTTAAACAACTCTTTGTGCCACCTCATGGAACTAGTATGACACCATTCCAAGAAGGCATGACATAAAAGTAAGGCCAACAAGTATAAGCTTGTGGAACAAGCATTATAGTGTGTCTAAAGTAAGGATTAGTACAAGTTTACATTTCTGCCTTACAAGGATGTTTTAACTTCACTTGTAGATAGATATTAGATGAATGTTTCACTAGTTAAGAAAGGGTAAAATTTGATGTTATTTTCTTTTACTACACCAGTACCAGAAGTCTGTAAACACTCGTCTTTCAAAGTGACGTAATTCACACACAACAAAAAACTGTACTCTGCAGTTTGGAACTGTGACACTATCTGACTTGAGTATTTAAAATCTTGATTGGGAGTTATTCTATCAGTATAGAATTAGAGATGGATCGTGTAGATAACCCTTGTCTAGCTTTGTAAGAATATCTGAAACAAACCAAACCACATCCATTGACATATCAGTCCATCTTTTTCACCTAGGATACAAATGTTCACTGCAGTATCAGTCGTTCCTCCCCATCCTGCTAGGATAAAAATGTTTACTGGAATATCAGTAGTTCCTCCACATCCTGCTAGGATACAAATGTTCACTGGAATATCAGTCGTTCCTCCACATCCTGCTAGGATACCAATGTTCACTGCAGTATCAGTCGTTCCTCCACATCCTGCTAGGATAACAATGTTCACTGGAATATC